GCCTTGAACATACTTCAGCTGCCAGAAAGTTGATCCTTTCAAGGCACCGGTTTGGATCCATGTTATTTAAGATATCCCCAACATGTTTCATTTAGGAAATGATTTATTTGACCCCAATTGTTGTTCTTGTTGTTGAAGTTGAATTTGTCAGTTAAAAGGACACAAGTGCAGCTAATGTGGACATTTTACTGTGTGCATCGTTTCGCTCTCTAGGAGCTTTGTCAAGCCGTTACAAAGAATACATGGACACAGAGGGTATATATAGGCTTAGAGTGAGGTGCAATACTAGTGATAGTAGTAGTATTAGTATTAGTAGTAGTAGTATTAGTATTAGTATTAGTAGTAGTAGTACCACTAGTATTACACCTAACATATTGTCGGTAATTCTACCAACATTCATGCAAGCTGAATTTGGTGAAGACAACCTCGTAACTTTCTGCATTTTGCTGGCCAGGACTCTAGTGCATATAAGTCTGGATTTCGATTAGATTGTGATCCGAATTATTCGTTTTCGATAGGTGAAGGGTTTTCCAGTCTAGTTGGCTCCACTTTCTGTTGGTTTAGGATGTATTCATTACAGAGATTTAGCAAGTCATGTGTATGGGACTTTTTTTTTTATCTGAACTGCCTCCAGGGTTTGTCTCTGTTATAACATTATTTGCTACATTTTCCATTCTTACGTCTTAAATTTAAATTACTAAGCAGCAAAATGTTTGGTGCTGGGGTTTGGAAGGTTTTCCAATAGTAATCAGTTTTCAGTAACATGTTCCTTGAACTGTTGGGAAGTTGCATCTGGTGGCTTATATACAACCAAAATAACTAAGTTTTGATTGTCGATCTTTATTGCTAAAACTTCAACTACATCATTTGTGGGGTTCAGTAACTGTGCAAATGAGAGCATCTTGGATATACAGGTAATTCCCTCTTGTTGCCTGATCTTTTCTGTCTCCTCTAAGTTGTACCTTGTTATCCATAGTTGCATGAGGTCTCTGTGAAGGCTGCGAGCATCGCATTTAGGTATGGTTCGTCAGAAAACAGGACAAGATTTTCCTGACGCGGGTCTTAGTCAGAAGATGACTCGTTATTGGAGCTTTTGGTCATCTGACCGAGGCCTTCCGCTTGCCACCCAGTCCAACCCTTTAAAAATTATGGTCATAGTTATAACCATTTTTACATCGCATTTGACTCCACTAGGAGTCCACTGATGAAAAGTGTTGTTGGTGGATGACTTAAGGTCATCCATCGTAAGTGTTCTTGAATGCCACTCATGCTCTCAGCTCAGCATCATGGAGACTTTCTTGTAAACGAGAATCAATTAGTTACCTCCGAATCTGAGGTTCAGTAAAGCCGTCTTCCTACAATTTGGCGTCATTAACGTAGGGAAGCCTCTTCATCAGAGGGGCAAATTCTGCATTTTCGCTGTTCAAAGCTTTGACGAACTTTTAATGGGCCCTGGCTTAACGTGTAAAGGTGAAAGAAGAATGATCTCTCGATCGACTAATTACCTGAACGTCCTTCACGCCTGCCTCGTACAGTTCTCTAGTTGGCCACGAATGTTGAATATAGTGCTGGTTTGTATCTTAATTGTCCCACCATCACAGAAAACAGCAGTTCTTTGTAAATGCACATTACAGCCCTTATAACAAACCTGGTACATTTAGGTTACAACAGATTTTCCATTGAAACATCTCATATTCAATCGAAGTGAGAGGTTTTTGGATTGATTCATTTGTTTCTTTTGATTCTCTAGCGAAAGCTGTAAGCAAACTTTGGAGGGTGTTGCTATCGTTTTGTATTGTTGGAATCAATAGGTAAACGTCACTTTGCAGTATCATGGTGTTTACCCAAAGTCCTGAAGAGTCCATTAACATCACAACAGCAACATGCTATTTTTTTTCTAATTTAAAGTTAGTTTCTTAGCTTTTCTGTTTCTAAATAAACTGATTTTTGTGACTGGGTGCAGTAAATTCCACTGGCGTAATCATGCACCAAGCAGCTCTGACTGTGCCTTTGATAAGTTAAGATTACGCATTAGGTCGTTAAGTTCATTTTGAGTCACTGGATATAGTTCCTGATTGTTGACTCAGAGTGGTTCAAACTCGGAATCTGAGTTAGCGGCTTCATCATCATCCAAGATAAATATATACCGCTACAGGGTGGAGGTACTGGAACAGAAAGATCCTCTGAATGTTCCATCGGTCCCATGGCAAAGAAAAATCTGGGTATGATATTTTGGATTTGATTTTTGGGGAAAATTCCGGCACTTTTGTGATACCAAAAAAACAATCCCTGGTGTGACCTTTGTTTCCCCCCATGCGGAAGGAACCATACATGTAAATACCATGCAGAATTTTTTCAGCAAACCCCTCGCGTAAGGCTTGGGCAAGTCACAAACACGATGAGTTGGCCCACCTTGCCCTAGCCCCGACCTTCACTCCAAAGTGTGAAAATTCCTTTTTTTCACGATTCGTGACGTTTTTCTCGTTTTGTCGGAGTAAAGAGGGCCACATAAATAACTAAAAAATTAGTCTTTTTTCAGTTAAAAAAACCCTTTATTTTGAAAAGAAGGAACATACAATTCATGGTGAAAAACAAAAATCCAAAAAAAAACAAACAAAGCCATAAATCCTCTTCTAAAAAATGACCCAAAATTCAAAAGACAACGATTTATTAATTATTATGTTATAATCAAGGGGGAAAGCGCTAAACCCGTAGGATTTTAAAAGCCCCCGTGGGGAAAGGGGAGGAGTGGAAGGGATTCAGGGGTTTTTCAGGGAACTAGAGCCAGATCCAGTTCCCAAGATCAAGACCCCTCACCACGCAAAGGGAAACCCTTTCCTTTTAGGGGAATTTAGTTTTAAAACGTAACAGGGCGGGGGAGGGTAGGTCCTAGTTCCAGAACTAAAGTGTTTTGGGCGAAACAATTCCGATTAGAATTCAGTGCCTAAAAAACTTTTTTCGACCTGTAATTAAAAATTTAAAGCATATTTACACGTTCAAATTTTTCAAAACTGGTAACACTAACTTGCACAAGAAAAGCCCCCGGTTTTGACGAACATTTTTGGGAAAACACGGAGGGCCCAAATACTTTAATCAAAAAGCCCTTCACGTACAAGGAATTCCCCCTTGGGGGTATCCTTTACAAACCCCAAAAAGTACACTTCAAAAAAAAATTTTCAACTGAATCCCTTTAACTTTAAAGTCAAAACCAACGTTTTGTTAGAAGGATTTTTAGTGGGAATTTGAAAGGGGGTTTCAATGTGGGTGACTTTGGGGGATGAGTAACAATGTAAACAGCTGGGGGAAGAGTTTTCCCTGTGAAAAAGGATGGGGGATGAGTAGCCGTGGGAAAAGGGATGGAGGGTGAGTTACCTGGGGAAGAGGTGGGGATTATTAAACTTTGGAAAAGGGTGGGGGATTATTCCCCGGGAAAGGAGGAGATGGTTACACGTGGGAAAAGGGATGGGGATGAATTCACTTTTAAAGGGAGGGGATGGTAACCCTGTGGAAGAGGATGGAGGATGGTTACACGTGGAGGGGGAGGAGGTTACGATGTAGGTGGTTAGGAAAATGATTAACCTGGGGTGAGAAAAAACCCCTTCCCTCGACTGCACGTCAGGGGGGCTCGAAGGGGGGAAGGACAACGCTGGGTTGGGGTTTCAACCCCAAACCCGGGGGAGACGGCTCAGCCCCCCCTTCCCTCCAACGTCTCGCCCCTCCTTTCCCAGCCTCAACAAATCCTTTTAGGTGAGCCTCGGGGGGGCCCAGATCTGTTTTTCCGGTCCTGGATCAATCATTAACAAGTCATGGCGGTCAGCTTCTAGGCCCTGTTTTATCTCGTAAAATTTTTCCCGGATTTTTTTTTTCTAAATTAAGTCGGGCCTAATTTAGACATTTTCCAATATTAAAAAATCCTAAAATTTCGGAAAATCAATACGGGAAATTATTTGACTTCAGGCGCTGCCTCTCAGCCTTTTGGCCGCGATAACACTTGTACATTGATTTTTAATACAATTAACTAAATAATGGAGGAAGTGTTGAACTGTAAATATATTGTAGTGTTCCCCCCCCCCCTCTCTCTCTCTCTCTCTCTCTCTCTCTCTCTCTTCTACATAAAGGCTTTTACTGAGTTAAAAGCCCCTTTCCCTTTATTTTTCAAGCTAATTTCGTTATCTAGTTCAATCATTTGCAAGCCCTGCCAATATTACTTTTTGTTAAATTTCATCATTACGAAACACATATGTAAGAAACAGGATAAAGCTGGAACCAGCTGTGTGCCAGGGAATTCATTTCTTCTATGTTGTCATGTTGTACGAACATGTCCCAGGCTCGCGTCAATCTAGAACTGAGTTATCTCAGATGAAGTAATGTTCTTCAGAAGGGAACAGCCAGAGGGTAATTGCTTTTTGCTGCCTGTCTTGTAGTGTAGAAGCCGTCTTCTCGCTGTCTTCGGAGTTGAGCCAAGTATGGTACATTAACAATATTCACCCTGTATTTAACAATAAGGCCGCTCACATCTCTCTAGTGTCGAAGGCCCTACTGACATGACAGATCAGCCGTGGTCGGGTATAGGAGTGAGATGAGTCGGTCTCTATTCTGCCCTGAAAGCATAGGTGGAACAGGGAAAACCAAGAAAGTGGTGATTCATACAATGTTTTGCAGCCCCAACTGTCAAACCTTAGTGCTGTTAGCTTCTTAGCTGCCTTGTTTGTAAGATTTACCATGTGATTCTTCATTGACATTCTGGAGTCAGATTTTCCCTCTAAAGTATCACCTCATTCAAGCTGCTTAGAGGCCATCATCATTTATGTGTACTCAAAAGCAAATGTAACCTGGGTTACATTGGATTCTCTGTCTCTCTCTCTCTCTGTCTCTCTCTCTCTCTCTCTCTCCCTGTCCCTCTCTCTCTCTGTCTCTCTCTCTCTGTCTCTCTCCCTCTGTCTCTCTCTGTCTGTCTCTCTCTCTCTCTCTCTCTCTCTCTCTCTCTCTCTCTCTCTCCCCTCTTCTCTCTCTCTCTCCCCCTCTCTCTCTCTCTCTTTCTCTCTCTCTCTCTCCTCTCTCTCTCTCTCGCTCTCCTCTCTCTCTCTCCCCCACCTCCTTTTCCATTTCCGACTTCCCGTAATACATATATCTTTTATGATCCTCTCCCTCCCTCAACCTTCTATATATCACTCTCTATTCCCTCCCCTTCCATTTCTCCTGAATGTTTCCCGTCTCTCCATCATTATTCTTTCCTGCTTTAATGAGCCCTTTCCTCCCTCAATCTCTTCTTTCCATCGTTCCACCGCCTCTCTCACTCCTCCATATCCCGCAGGGTGAAGAGTTTGCCGGGTAGTGTTATGCGGATCAACTCCTCCCGCAATTCTTCCTTTGAGGGAGATGACGCATCCCAGGTCACCGGGCACTCGGTAAGTCAGGTCACGGGGCACTCGGTAAGTCAGGTGACTAGGCACTTGGTAAGTCAGGTCATCAGGCACTTGGTAGGTCAAGTCATCAGGTACCTGGTAAGTCAGAGAGAGAGGCTGCAGACGGTGACATACCCACACTGCGCTACTCTGAGAAAAACTTCCCCTCCTTCTGCTGCTGCCTTGCAACATTGCATAACTCCTGATGACGCACTGAGAAGTTCGAAAGTACTTGAGCTAAAGATTTCCACCCCCCCCCACCCCTCGTGGCTTGTCTTACATAAGTTAAGATCGCCTGTCTGCGAATGTTTGAATAGATCACAAAAGCAACTAAAATAACGCTGTAGAATTTGGATTAGTTTTAAGCTCACAATCTCAGGAAAATTCTTCTTTAAATGAGCAAACAGTGAGGGTTAAAAATTTCACTGGTATTACAGTGTAAAGTAGTGAAGTGTAAAGTAGTGAAGTGTAAGGATCATACACAAACAGATTCACATCCAATAAACCTAAATTTCACTACCAACTACACTCAGTGGAAGTAATTCAACCTTACATTTTAATGTCAGGTAATAATAACTGGCAGTGACTTACCGGAATGAAGAATCATTCTGGGCCCAGTTAACCTCTCACAGCAGGAAGTGAAATAACGACACGTTGACTACTGGCTGGTGCGTATTTAAGGTAATCAATACAACCTTCTTACATTTCATAATAGCCCAAAGAGTAGCACTCTTGGTTAAGTCTTTATAAGGTGAGGACCGTAACTCTTTCCATGACACTCCAGTATTCAAATTAATGTTATATGATAAAATAAATGAACCCCGCTTAGGTTGAGACGTCATGTATTTTTTTCTTGTGGCTGTAAGCTAAGCAGTTATGAGTTTGTCAGTATGCTTAATTAAGAAAAAGATTTATATATATATATATATATATATATATATATATATATATATATATATATATATATATATATATATATATATATATATATATATATATATATATATATATATATTCCAAATTCATTTTCTCGTTAGGTATTGAATAAACACGCTTTTACTTAGACATTGCGAAACCATTTGCTTTCTTTCACTCTGTCTGGCTTAATACGATTCACGTATTAACAACAGAGTACTCAGTAACTTTTAAATTTGTGTTTTGAGATACTCATTACTAGGTTCATTACAAAACCAATATTATTCTCAACTATTAACCAAGTTTCAAGCTTGTGTAGTTTTATAGGAGAACTTTTATGCACCCCATGGCACCGACTGTTCAAGTCTCGCTGAGAAACTTTGTTAAGGTCAAGCCAACTCTCACCCGAAGTATTTCCATTGATGTGCTTCCGTATCCCTCAGATTTAGGCGTCGGAGACACGTATAAACCTTTATGTCTTTCATTTCACTATTCAGGTGTGCGTCTAACATGTGCTATTGTCATACTAGTAAGTCATTGCAAGAACAACGTATAGAAAAAAAATTATATGCAATATCGCAATAACGAGGCTGCAAACAAATCACATAAGACAGTGTACACAGCACAACTTACAAAATTTATTTCTTGAAATTAAGATAAGTGAAAGGTATGGAAAATAAAAATTATGAAAAATTCAGGGCAGTGAGGTGACTTATAAAGTAGTTGTAAGTTATAGAAACTTATATAAACAAATACTAAATTCCAAAGAAATTAAAATTATGTTTTAAAAAATTAAATCACAGAAGGGTTGGGGTTCGAACCCATGGTAAGTGAACCCCTAACACTGTTAATAGTGAACAAAAGTGGGCAGACTACATGTTATGTTATTATACTGGTGATACACGAATTTCTAACCAAATCAAAAGTGAGTGTCTTGTAATGTTATGATTATAAGATTTCTTTATTGAATCGCAAACACAAAAGTTTTCTTCCAGAAATGCTTACTACTACAGTAGCACGTTGGTAAAACTTGCATCAACTTTTGCAGGTTCGCTCGGAGTTCCTGTCTGTGCCAGGAGTAAGACTACAGTCAACTGGATCCAGCAGTGATGGATACAGTGCGGGATCCTCTACGCATGATTTGTCAGGGGAAATGACGGCAATGGCCCTACTTGGCGTTCCAGGCCTAGGTCCCCGTGGCAACAAGCCGGTGCTCCAGCTGGGTGGGATGGATTGGGATAGCGACCATGCCACCGCTGAGTGGATCCAGACCATCGATATCAACGTCATTCAACCCACGCCTAACATCTCCCCATGCGGGTCAGTTCGCAGCGTCTCGGACAACACTGAATTGTCTCGGTTGCCACTACCTGGTCGGGTTCGTGTTGCTTCCGTGGTTTCCTTAGATTCGCCAGAATTTGACAATCGGTCTATTGGATCTGATTCAGTTTTCATGGAAGATTCAATGGGCGATTTCAGCAGTTTGTCAGAAAGTATAGATAGCGGAACCCCTTCGCTCCAGGCATCATCACGCTCAATGCTCACTCCATCACCCAGGAGTTCACTTCGCAAGGTCCAATCATTCCGTCTAGGCATTAACCCATCTGCTTCTGCTGCTTCTTCAGCCTCGCCTGTGCCCACCCGTGTCCCAACTCTTGCTGATCTGCATCGCCCACGCGACCAACGGAGTCGCCAGAAACTTCTTAAGCGACAACAGGTGCAAGACATTCCTGTGCCTAGTATTACACGTTCTGGTCCCGCCTTGTCGTCACTGCTTGTGCCTAATCTAGGAGGTCACTTAAATGCCTCCTGTGAGCGCTTAGCAGCTCATTCTGCAGTGTTGGCTGAAAGCGAAATGGGCAGCAGCTTCGGATCCAATTCTTTAACTCCAGCTGGCAGTACTGAGGAAGAGCCCATGTGCGCCGTATACACAGTGCCGTCGTTACGTCGGTGTAACTCAGCCACGACACCTGGCCAGAAGGAAGAGGCAGCAGGTTGGAAAAGGGCGGACAGTGCCCAGAATCCTTCTGTGCGACGAGCAGACAGCGCCTCAGGTCCTCAACGGCAATCAAGTGAGTCATCCAGTGGATCTGATGATGCTAGTGAGTCTGTATCATTTCATTTGATGGTGCCAGCACTTAGTATAGACAACCCTAGTAACGACACCAGTCGAGCCTCCTCTCCAACTCTCTCTCCACCCAGTTCACCGAATACTTCGCCACCTCCAACTGTATTTCCTGCAAGTCCACAGCATCCACGTGTTTCAGAAGGGCCAGTCACAGACACGCTCACACCAACATCGGGTCTAGGGAGGGGTCTGAGAGGCAATGGTGGACGACGAGTGCTACGACGGCAGTACAGCCAGTGCATACCACCGAGTCCTGCACTGTCACGTGAGATTCCTGCCCCCACGTCTCTCCCGACATATGTTGAGGAAAATGATGCCGACGAAGAATTTTCCTTTCCAGCAGCACCACCTCCCTCGCCCTTCAGAGCCGGTCATTCTTTATTTTTCCGTCGAGATTCTGGGCCTCCCTCCCCCCTTGTTGCAGCTCACCATGTCAACCGCCAGGACTCAGGCCCCTCCCCGCCTCTCTTATCTCCACATTACCTCAATCGTCAAGACTCCGGCCCTTCACCACCTCTCTTAACCCCTTATTACATTAACCGGCAAGATTCTGGTCCCTCGCCGCCCATTTTATCTCCTCATCACCTTAACCGGCAAGACTCTGGTCCTTCACCCCCTCCTCCATCTCCATATTATCTGAACCTTCAAGAACCTGGGGTATCTCCACCCGTTTTATCTCCCAACCACTTAAGGCGTCAAGACAGTGGAATGTCACCATCCCCAAACCACTTCCTTCGTCAAGAATACAGATCTTCCCCTTCTCCTAATCAATTTCACCGGCAAGAGTTCGGTATTTCTCCATCCCCTAACCACTTCCACCGTCAAGATTTTGGAATCTCACCTTCGCCTAACCACTTCCACCGTCAAGAATACGGAAGTTCACCTTCACCTAACAACTTCTACCATCATGAATTTGGAATGTCTTCATCCCCTAGCCACATCCACCGTCAGGACTATGGAACTTCTCCATCCCTTATACTTTCCATCGTCAAGAGTTCGGCCTTTCACCATCCCCTAACTACTTCCACCGTCAGGACTACGGATCGTCTCCTTCCCCTAACCACTTCCACCGTCAGGACTACGGATCTTCTCCATCCCCTAACCATTTCCACCGTCAAGACTCAGGAACTTCCCCGTCTCCTAGCACTTTTAGCAGCCATCTTGACTCCGAAACTTCCCCTTCTCCTAACAATTTCAGCAACCTCCAAGACTCAAGCTCATCATCACCCCGCTCAAAAAGCTGTCAGCACTCCCAACAAGATTCCAGCCCATCATCGTCCCTTCGTTCACCTCCATATGAGCTTCACCATGGAGACTCCAGCCCACCCTCGCCCACTCCTCCCAGAGGTCGCTCTCTTCATCGTGATGATTCCAGTCCACTTTCACCCACCGAGCTTCACAGTAGTGAATCAAGTCCGGTGCCAGTGGAACAACTAGCAACAAGCCCACCAGCTCTAGAACAACTAGCAGCAGGCACACCATCTATGGATCAAACATTAACAAGCCCGTCTTCTATGGAGCAGACAGATACCCATAAAAAAGAATCCAAGGAATCCCGCCCGTCTTCGCCCACCTGTTCTGTCATGGAGACCTCCTGCTAACACTCAGTAAACCCAGTATAGGCCCTTTGTAAAATTTTCCATGTAACTGTAGCGAGGTTTAAGGTATAGCAACATCGCGCCAAGAACCTCATATGATAAACACTACGTACCCAGCGAATTAGTTGTATTAGGTGTATTGTATTTACAGTGTGCAAAAAAACAATCTCTATAAATATGTTTCTAATTCTATAAACATCTTCAATAGCCCACTAAACTTTATGTTGAAGTTACCCCTTAAAGCATTGTCATTCTCTGTAGCGATCATTTGCTTTCGTTTTCTGTTACTGTTTCTGGGATAACACTGGTAATTAAGGATATATAATTTTTTTTCCTGTGCTAAGCTACTGATTTGTATTTGTGTATATTAATGGTTAGCTGACCGGTCAGTGGTACAAGGTGGCCATCTTGCGACTCCCTCGTTTGTTATTCGGTGGTATTAAAGTAGATGAATATTATTTTTTTGTCGCTGTTATATGCTAACGTTAATAATGTGTTTTAATGTAATAATAATAATAATAATATCTTTATTTACTACAAGTACATGTACAAGGTATACAGACCATAGCTGACATCTGTGACATACTACTACTCACAAGCTCTACTCACAACAGTATCCTTGATGAAGCTCTACTCACAACAGTGTCCTTGATGAAGCTCTACTCACAACAATGTCCTTGAGGAAGCTCTACTCCCAACAATGTCCTTGAGGAAGCTTATCACAGCAGTGTCCTTGATGAAGCTCTACTCACAACAATGTCCTTGAGGAAGCTCTACTCACAACAATGTCCTTGAGGAAGCTCTACTCACAGCAGTGTCCTTGATGAAGCTCTACTCACAACAGTGTCCTTGATGAAGCTCTACTCACAACAATGTCCTTGAGGAAGCTTACTCACAGCAAGTGTCCTTGATGAGTTTACTCACAACAGTATCCTTGGTGAAGCTCTACAACAGTGTCCTTGAGGAAGCTCTACTCACAACAATGTCCTTGAGGAAGCTCTACTCACAACAATGTCCTTGAGGAAGCTCTACTCACAGCAGTGTCCTTGATGAAGCTCTACTCACAACAGTGTCCTTGATGAAGCTCTACTCACAACAATGTCCTTGAGGAAGCTCTACTCACAGCAGTGTCCTTGATGAAGTTCTACTCACAACAGTATCCTTGGTGAAGCTCTACTCACAACAGTGTCTTTGATGAAGCTCTACTCACAACAATGTCCTTGAGGAAACTCTACTCACAACAATGTCCTTGATGAAACTCTACTCACAACAGTGTCCTTGAAGCTCTACTCACAACAGTGTCCTTGAAGCTCTACTCACAACAGTGTCATTGAAGCTCTACTCACAACAGTGTCCTTGGTGAAACTCTACTCACAACAGTGTCTTTGATGAAGCTCTACTCACAACAGTGCCCTTGATGAAGCTCTATTCACACCAGTATCCTTGATGAAGCTCTACTCACAACAGTGACCTTGATGAAGCTCTACTCACAGCAGTGTCCTTGATGAAGCTCTACTCACAGCAGTGTCCTTGATGAAGCTCTACTCACAGCAGTGTCCTTGATGAAGCTCTACTCACAGCAGTGTCCTTGATGAAGCTCTACTCACAACAGTGTCCTTGATGAAGCTCTACTCACAGCAGTGTCCTTGATGAAGCTCTACTCACAACAGTGTCCTTGAAGCTCTACTCACAACAATGTCCTTAAGGAAGCTCTACTCACAGCAGTGTCCTTTATGAAGCTCTACTCACAACAGTGTCCTTGATGAAGCTCTACTCAACAGTGTCCTTAAGGAAGCTCTACTCACAACAGTGTCCTTGATGAAGCTCTACTCACAACAGTGTCCTTGATGAAGCTCTACTCACAACAATGTCCTTAAGGAAGCTCTACTCACAACAATGTCCTTAAGGAAGCTCTACTCACAACAATGTCCTTGATGAAGCTCTACTCACAACAATGTCCTTAAGGAAGCTCTACTCACAACACTGTCCTTGATGAAGCTCTACTCACAACAATGTCCTTAAGGAAGCTCTACTCACAACAATGTCCTTGATGAAGCTCTACTCACAACAGTGTCCTTGATGAAGCTCTACTCACAACAATGTCCTTAAGGAAGCTCTACTCACAACAATGTCCTTGATGAAGCTCTACTCACAACAGTGTCCTTGATGAAGCTCTACTCACAACAGTGTCCTTGATGAAGCTCTACTCACAACAGTGTCCTTGATGAAGCTCTACTCACAACAGTGTCCTTGATGAAGCTCTACTCACAACAATGTCCTTGATGAAGCTCTACTCACAACAGTGTCCTTCATGAAGCTCTACTCACAACAGTGTCCTTGGTGAAGCTCTGCCAGGAATAATGATGTCCCAAGAAAACCTTGTTTCCCATTGTTTGTCTTTTTCCATAATGTCAGTAATAAGATATTTGTACACAAATGCGCAGTAGCTAACATTATTCACACTGTTCTAGAGTGTTCTGCCTGAGGTGGTAAGTAGGGAAACTCTTGCGTTCCCAGTCTGTTACCCACATTTACGTCGCAGATGGTCACGAGACCTTCATACCCGTGGCCTGGTATGCAACGCCCTCGCTTCACACGCTGAGTGTCTGTGGTTCGATCCCTGGTAAGGGTGGAAAAAATATCTGGAGTCTACCTGGAGGGTATTCCGGGGATCAACGCTCCCGCGGCCCGGTCCACGACCAGGTCTCCCGGTGGATCAGGGCCTGATCAGCCAGGCTGTTACTGTTGGCCACACGTAGTCCACCGTACGAACCAGAGCCCGGCTGATCCGGCACCGACTTCAAGTATCTGTCCAGCTCCCTCTTGAAGGCAGCCAGGGGTGGTAACATTGGGCGTGTTTCCTTACATCTGTCGTCCTGTTCACTTAACAAGCAAGTAGGTACCTGAGTGTTAGTCGACTTGTGTGGATCGCATCCTGGGGGTGACAAGCTTGAGGACCCCAATGGAAATAAGACAGTCCCTTGATGACTTTTTTGGGTTATCTAGGGTGCCTAACCCTCCTGAGTTAAAAATCCGAACAAAAATCTTATCTCTAGAACAGGAGCCGCCCTGCCCAACCTCAGATCAATCCTCATTAACTCTCGTACCTCAGGCACTATATGACGTATTAAAGGTTAAGTGTTTTCCAATGGATATCATGTCGATTAATGGGGTGTTAATGTTGCAGTTTTATAAACTGGCAAGACCCTGCCTTGGTGGGAATCGGCCAGTGTGTCAATAAAAATAAAAAAAAATGTCGATTACAAGACTAGAGGCACAAATTCGTCAGCTAAAAAAACCAAGTTATCACACGGAGGTTAACTAGTACGTGGGAAAATTTGTGATAACAGTAATGTATAACTTATAGTTAATGTGAATTATATACCATATAATTAGTGGTTGACAATATTAACATGATGTTGAATTAAACACATGTGCAATACCTGGGCATCTTTATTCTGAAATAGATTCACTAACAAAAGTATATATCTTCTGCAACCTATTTACTAAGTTTATTCAGGTATGTACAAATGCAGTTACATAGATTATCGTACATAGCAGAATTATTGCATGACCTACTTTGAACATTTGTGGCGATACCTTCAACTGCTGCACTTTATCTGACTCATTACTCAAGCGCCCTCCATCCTACCTATGCTTCAGATTAATCAAGACAAAGGTATCAAACACCTGCTTCAAGGCTAAGTGACTGACTATTTAATCGTCTAGTATCTCCAGCTTCATTAACTTCAAAGCTGTGGGACTGATTTCCTTATCATCTACTGTCTACAGTGTATAAGCTCTTTAAAAGTGTATAGATAAAGCCACAGATTGACGAAATGTCTTCCAAATACAGATACCCAGGAGTTGGTTATGTATCTGTTTCATCATTATAATATATGACTGAAAGATACAGTATATTAAATTTTGGCAAAATGTTGACCAATAAGTTTGACAGTCTGAAGCTTAAGAGTCATAAATCTCACTGAATATAAGAGCGAAGAGGAAAAATAGAGTATTTAATGTGACCAGTTCAGGGAATGAGAACCACACAAGGGAATGAGAACTACACAAGGGAAGAGAACTACATAAGAGAATGAGAACCACACAAGGGAATGAAAACCACACGTAATCTATATTCCCTTACATTAATTTAGTTAAAACTCATTTTATCAACATCATCCCTATTTATCTAATTCATTTTACCATTCATATTGTTGTTATTAATACCACCAATTTATTTCAACCTGAGTTATAACCACTAAAGGCTTTATAACAAATTGTTTTACTAAATTAATACGAAAATGTCATGATCATAGACCAAATTGTTAATGATTATATTTTTTTTTAGAGTTTGCTACCGAAGTGGCTAGTTTATTGGGCCTCTTATACCCCTCTTATACCCCTCCTATGGACGGTAGTACAAGAGGATATGGAAACTGGGCTCCAAATAAGGGTTTACAGGAGTCATCTGGATTTATATCAGTTCAGTCACCCGTTACAAACAAATTTAGGAAATTTGCTTAATATATCCGGTATCTTATTTTTATTAACAAGATATCTTGATATGTCACATTAGTTATTATACTGTCTACCTCTATATTCCTGAATAAGTGGACAATTTGGAATATAGTGTTCAAGATAGTGACCATAGGGCTGGCCATATAGTTTGCCTCTGGTTTGATCAACATCTGTGTCTCCCAAACTGCCAGAAGTACTTGTAACCAAGCCTAAGCCTGGCCACTACAACATCAGTCAGTCTGTTCACATTGTAAGTTGCTTGTGGCATGCAGAGAGTACGTAACCTTTATTCGGCGCATGTACACACCCTCATTTACAGGCTATCTCCCCCAACCAGCGAACCAGGTGACTGAGGGTTGACGATAGGGCCCCGTCGTTCAACCAGTACCCAGGTTCCAGCCAATGAGAAGATGGTTTTGGCAATCGCAGAGGT